CGTCGTCGTCGTCGTCGTCGTAGTTGCAGTAGTAGTAGTAGCCGGTGGTAACGTTGTTGTTCTTTTATTATCATTTCTTTCCTTGCTCATTATATTTTTCTTCGTGATAATATTATTTTGATTATTTATCACATACGTATCTGTTTGCATTTCATTTTCTTTGTTAGAACCATTGACATTTTCTGTCAACGTTTTCTCGAAATTGTCTTCTATTTTACAGCCGTCAAAATCGTCGAAAAAATCGTTAGATTCGATGTAAGACGAATTCGTTATAGGAAGAATATTTTTGTTATCCTTATTTTCCAATTTATTGACATTTTCGAGAATATTTTCTTCCGTAAAAAAATTCTTACCCAAACTACCTGTTATGATTTCATCTCCATTTAAATTATCAATACCATTTATCCTCTTATTTGATGTTATCATATCATTCTCATTCATTTTAATCATCTTTACTTTATCAATGATATCATTGTTAGATCTTTCAGGTGTTTTTTCTTTTTCAGAAATAATATTAACAGGCGTATCATAATTATTCCATGTATCGAAATCAATACTTTGCGGTATCATTACCATTGCTTTGAAATTCATCATCTCTTTTGAATTACATCTCTTCATGGATTTCGAAGTACCCAAACCATCACACCAATTATTAACAATCTTATTAACTAGATTATCGTCCTCGAAATCTTCATTTGATACACCATTTTTCTCATCAATTTTAACTTTTTTGTTGTCCTTTTTTTCATTAATATCTGTCTTCCTCTTCCTCGTATAACTCGTATCGGTATCTGAACTTGATTGGGCTATCATTATTCTTTTATATTTTTGTTTTGTTGATTCGTTTAATGAATTTATCATTACTCTTTTATTATTCGTGTTATTATCTGACTCGGAACTGAGTGTTATAACTGCATCAACATTTTCATTATTGTTTATCTTATCACCTAAGTTAAATTTATCAATTTGTGTCGTGTTATTAATCAATTTGTCGTCATCATCAGAATCATTTTCATCGCTCGATTCTTTTATTTGTCTATTCCTCGTATCATTTTTCATATTATTGTCAATGAATTTTCTTTTCTTACCATCAATTATTTGACCCAAAGAAATATTGTCATTATTCCTTTTAGATTTTCTTTTCAATTCTAAACCCATCGATTCGTTTGAAATCTTTAACTTAACTGGTATCGGATCTATCATTGATTCCAAATCTAAATTCTTTAATTGAGAATCATCTTCCGATGACATCATTTTAACGATGCTCGTTATCATAGGTTTTGAACACATTCCATTTTTACCACGATTTTCTAATCTTTTTTTTGATGAAGATTCACCGTTTTCAAATCTAACACCACGTTGATCATTGTCATTAACGATATTTTCATTTGTTGGTTCTTTCATTGAAATTAATAGAATATCTAATGATTCTTGCGTTGGATTTTTCAACGAACATTTCATATTTGTATCTTTTAACAATTGTATCTTATTATTTCTAACATCTTTTTCAACAATCAAATTCGTAGTAGATTTTGTATGATTTAATAAATTGCACTCTTCTTCCATTATATAAGTTTCTAATAAATCATCAGATTCTTCAAACGTTATCATGTTGATCTTGTTAAAATTTAATACTGCCATAGTTAAAGGATTGATTGAGCATTCTTTTTTAATAGGTCCAAGTTTATAAAATTTAACCTTTCTTCTCTTTTTAAATACCGTGCCTAATTTACTGAAAGGTACAACCTTACTTACATTTCTTCCTTTTGATTTATTGATTTTCTTATCAACGATTTCGTTAACATTCTCAAATAAATCTTGGGACAATCTGTCTTGATTAATTTGTTCCATTATATTGCATTTGGGATTTGGTACTTGTGCAACTTTGGGTATCGTCGTAGCTTCTTTAGATTTCCTATTACTTGTTTGATTTTGTTTTGATGATTTGTTTATTATTGAATTTTCGTTAGCTTTTATTGAAGTAGTACGTTCGTTTCTTTGGGATAACGAAGGTGAACCATCGCATAAAATATTATCATATTCCTCAAGATTTACTTTGACTGGTGTGATTTTAGGTGAGGATTGATCATTAATAGACACATTTTTCGAGTCGTTACGTTTTCTCAATGACGATCTTTTCTTCGGAACAGTTCCTTGATCTTCATGATCTGAGGAATTACTTTCTTGATCATTTGTTCTTTCATTAGGGTTAGTAGCAACGCCGATAATGTCATCCATTTGTTCACGACGCAAACTCATTATTGGAACTCGTCCTTCTTTTTCCAATGAAATGAACGACGTATTTTGTAATGACTGTTGTTCACTCGTCTCGTTTGACTTATTGCAAGGTGAATTACATTCGATTATGGTATTTTCTTCTTCTTCTTCTTCTTCTTCCTTTTCTTTTTCTTGATTAATTTCAATCTTCTTAGATTCCTCTTCCTTTCTTCGATTGTAAGCTTCAATGTATAAATTTGTTGTAGATAATTTTCGATTTCTCGTAGTATTTGTACATTCTTTACTTATGTCCAATGATTTTAATTTTTTCTTTTTAGATTGCATTTCTTTACCCATTTTAACGACCCTATCCCAAGTTTCTTTTGTACCAACACTTAGATCCAATTTTTTGGGTATATTCATCGAATTAATTGTATCTTTCTTAGATTTAACAGAATCCTTGACATTTTTCTTTTGAACTTTATCAACAACATTCATCCAACGTTCTCGTACTCTCGCGTGAGTCGCTTTATATTTTAATTTATGTTCCATAGAATCACATTTGATTGCTTGTTCAATAAATGGTCGTTTGGTTGTTATTGCTTTTGCTGGCTTGTTTGTATCATTCAAAGATGTTTTAATTGGTTTTAACAAATCAGATACTTCTATTACAGTAGAATTACTACTATTATCTGATATGTAAGATTCTTTTTCTACTTTGATGTTGCTTACAGATGACATTAAGGATGTGCCAGATCCTACAGTAGCTGTGTCATCTAAAGATAAATTTTTCAAAAGCTTAGGACTACTATTAGGACTATCAAATTGGTCTGTATCAGATATACTCTTTAACCAATTTGTAATTCTTTTTTCTTTTACTAATGCAATGTCATCACTGTTAGATACTTCTGGTAGCTGTGGTGAAGATAGCAGAGGATAAACACCTGACATTTCATCTGTCAATGAACCATCCTTCTCTTTTATTTCCTTCTCATTGTCATCACTCTCTTTTATCTTATTCCTCATATTTTCTCCACTTGTTGTACCTCTTCTATCTGTAATATTTTGATATGATGAGGAACAACCTGGTTGTTCTGTTGTCATTGAAATTTTACTTGTTAAGAACAAAGAAATATTTTCATTTCTGTTCTCTTGCCCTTTCGTTATGTATGAGGAGTTATGTTGTTTAGCGTATGGTGAACCATGCCCTTCTCTTGTGTTTCGTGGATTCTTTTGATAATTAAGTACTGTAACATGTTGATTCTTATAATAGATTTTCTTTTCTTTAAGTATCATGATATATAGAAAATATATATATTTTACTTACTATCTATATTTACATCTTTACGAATAGCTTCTAACAGTTTTTCAAAATGTTTAATACTTTTTTCTATGTGCTTATCCTTTGAAATACTTCTTCGTTGCAAGTTAGTGTTACACAGAGGACATCTACTATTTTTCTTATTTAACACTGTTGCTATACATGTTCGACAAAAAGAGTGACCACAACGGGTTTTAACTGGTGAAGAAATTGTATCTAAACTAAAAGAAAGATAGTTTGTTTACAATGACAATTAATTTAATTTTATAATTATATAGAAGACTACAAATGATTTCTTTTTAAATATAGAAGATAAGTCTAATGTAATCTATGCATGCTTTAATGGTCCATGCTTTATCATAAACATTTATGTAACTATAATTCAAACTTATATAATAAGAGAATAATATAAAAGATATTTTATAATATTCCTCATGATTTATTTTTTATCAATGATTCATTTTTTATCTATGATTCATTCACAAATGAATTATACAAATGATCATAAATAATAATTAAAAAAAATATTAAGTTTTTGACTATCAGCAGCTATTAATTTTTGAATATCATTTTCTTTGAAATAAATAAATTATTTATTTTTATATTTAATATTAATTAAATAAATATGTTCTTACCAAATTCTACATTGTAGACAATTATTTATCGACTTGACTGCATCTGAGATAATATCAATGTCCATAATTTGATCTTCTGTCATTTTATCAATAAATTTGACATAGCAGAAAAAACTTAAGGCTCACTATAAATACGTTATTACAAATTCGATTTATTTAACACTAAGCACGTCCTGTTTACTTCATTTTTTTGTTGTTTTTTAAGGAGATACTTTTGGGACCCGTTATTAACTCCGATACAATAGACAGTTTCCACATTTTTCCGCAACACGATCGTAGCGCTATAAAACATATCCTTTAGTGGGCAGTAAGAGTGGGAAATAAATCGAAATTTAAATCGTTTATTTTCAATATCAAATTTATACATATATCGATTTTGTTAATGATAAATAAATTCTATTATAAATTTTTTATTATTAACTTTAATTTTATTCATAAAAAGATTTATTTTTATCGTATCCTCATAATACTAATATATCGTATTTAAAATAACCATTAAATTAATCGATATAAATCATCGATTCAATGTCGCCGTTCGATATACTAGTGGGCCCGCTAAAATTGATAGATTCTACTGCGCATGCGCAATCGCCATCTTGTGACGTACTCAGCTCACACGGCAGTAGTGATTGAGCAGGCGTATCGCACGTGTCGAGTTTTGTTTACATGTCACGTTTACCGGTATCCGTGTGATTATATTAAAATACAAGTTCATTTCGTTTATTATAATGAGTTTATTCGTAGTGTCTCGTATTATATTAAATGAAAAGTATCGTAAGATGACGAAGTGTTTGCATATAAAGTGTTTTTTGGATCAACGTCGAAATATGTCACCATCTTCTGTCAACAACTGCATAGACCAGGTATTCGTTTAATTAATTTCATTTTTTTTCCCTTCCTTCCTTCCTTCCCCTTTACTTTTTTATTTTCTTTTTCAGTTTCTTTTACATACACTTGACTTTCTCTTTATAAAGTACGGCAGGAACGGGGCGCGAAAAAAAGAGAACGGTAACGCGTTAGCGATGCTTTTCAACGGCTCAGAGGCAAGGTTTAGAAATTTTACAATAGACAATGGTTGTGTTATACCTGTAGTCGTCGTCACAAAGCCCCCACAGCGACCATGAATATAATCTTGCCGTTGACTACAATTCGAACTGACGTGCTTCATATTTAAACCATTTACAAGTTGGCGGAAACGTCGAGTGTTTGTGTATGTGTACGTATATATATATATATACTATCACTATTGGTCTACTACCCTATCTCACATCAGAAGTGAATTTACTCATGGACTACATATTAAAACAAGGGTTTTAGTGGATCTAACAATTCTAAGCTCTCTCTCGAGGCAAACTGAATCATGATCGATTTATTATTTCTATTAAAGATTCTATCTATATTGTAGCTTATCATCTTTCATTATAGTTTAACGTGATACGAATGTATTTGTAATTATTCTACTATGTTGTATATACATGTATACATAGATATATACGTATATATAATTGTACATATACATATATTACATGTATTACCTGAGTTATACGTATATATTATTAATTTATGTATATTATATGTATATTACATGACTTATATGACAGTAGATAAATTGAGAATATTTTAGGATAAGTATTATACATAGATACTAATTGAATAGTTAAAAGATAACTGTATCAGTTTATCTCGTTAAATTAAAAATAATGATTAATGATTTTTCATGTATTATACAGAAATCTGATGGGAAAAATGTAAAATTTATGTTATAGGGTGGCATTGTATTGTCTTGGATAAATTCTAAATACAAAAATCAAAGATTTTTGAAGATTGAAGAAAAATAAAAGCGATGTCGTGGTGTAAGATGATTTTTATCGGTGTGACCTGTTGATGACGTTATGGGGTGGTTCATCCTTGCTGGTATTTTAATAATTTCCATATGCGGTGAGTTTTTACATATATTATACATATTATATATTTATTCATTTACTTTGTCATATTTACATTGAAATATTGTTATAATTATTATATTTATAATAATGAATTTGTATATTTATTTTCTATATAAAAACATTTACAGAAAAAGATAAAATAAAAATTAAACAAAGTAAATTAATTAATTGAATTGAATTTATCGAACAAATAAAGTTTAATCAGATCAATCATATTTAAATATATATATATGTATTCATAATAATAATTATAACATTATAATATAACAAACAAACGTATCGAATAATGTTTATAAACTTGATATGTGCATATATTACATTTGTTAAAATGATAGAAAATGAAATGAACTGATAAGTTAATCAAATGTTTTTTACTTTTACACGTATACAAGTAAGTAGATCAGAAAAAGGTAGATAGATAGAAAGAAAGAAAGAAAGAAAGAAAAAACAAAAAAAAATGTAAAAGAAGTGGAAACAAAAGGGAAATAGTTTAGTAGTGGCTATTACTTAAATCCTTTTAATATAATACACCTTTTGCACGTGAAACATGCATATTAAATTTAATAATGCTTCTTATATAATATTCTATACATATAAGCTTTCAACCTTTCCCCTTACCCCTCTCTCTCTCTCTCTCTCTCTCTCTCTCTTTCATTTTTTTCTTAGCTTTTTTTCTTAAACCCCTTTGTCTATTATTTTATGTTCCATGCATTACATTCCACTCATATGACTTAATTTATTCTTATACCATGTGTAAATTGTGTGAATACATGAAGCTTATATTACAGTGATTTATATGGGGAATAATAATTTACATGACTCCTTTTACATGTTTAAGAAAAAATTGAATTGAACCAATCAATATTTTGTTCTTTTTATTTTTTTGTTTATTTTAGAATAAGTTCATAGTGTTGAGTATCAAGAATAATATGAAAATAAAATCGTGAACGTTAACGAAACGTGTTCAGGAAATCGGATAAATATCAAATATTTGCCTACTTGATTACAGTTATATGGTAACATATTAGTTAGAGAGAATATATTTACATATGTATGTGTATATTACGTTAAACGTTAGTTAGTTTTTTAGAGTTTGTTAGTGAGTGTATGGTTTATAACGAGAAATGTTGAAATGTTCAAATGTGTATATACGTTTTTATATAATATATATAATATATGTTTATTCTTTGATTAATTTAGTAATTTCGTTGAACGTTATATTTCTTTTTTTTTTATAGGAATAATAATAATAATAGTAATAATTAATTTTAGATCAAATGATAATTTCAATGAATTAACTCATTGTATTAACACAAAATCTGATGAATTCCACTTAACACGTTTCATGCCATATGGGGGTGTATATTACCACCCATACTGCACTTTTTTTTTTATTGAAAAACCAAAGTATTTGTTTAAAAATTTTCAAATAATTCCATCAAAATTAAAATTATTACTTTGTTGTTTAATGTATATTAAAAATGTGTATTTTTTTTTCTGCTAATTATAGCTTTGTAGTATTGAAAAAAATGTAATAGGTATACCTTTCTAAAGTAACATTTTGGAATCTTTGAAGTGTGGATCGTATATACCCCATGTGGCACGAAACGTGTTAAAACGAAATAATAACTAAAAAATTTTTGATTTTATTCCTTACTGCTGCTACTGATGATGATGATATACTATTGGTACTGCTACTGGGGCTCCTGATGATGTGATAATCATCATCATCATCATCATCATCGTGATCATCATCGTCTTCGTCCTTGTCATCATGATCATCATGATGATGATCGTAATCATCGTTTCTAACGGGGGATGAACAGCGACGGGATTACCGTTGCCACAGGGTGGTGGTGGGTTGGGGGCACACGGACAGCCGCAGGCCGGTTTGTCAAGTACCTCAGGTCCCAACGTAGTTGTTGGTGGTGGTGGTGGTGTTGGTGTTGCTGGTCTTGGGGTTGGAATCGGGTCAGTTGCCGGTGGTGCCGTCGTAGGAGTCAGTGGCACAGGTGGAGGAGCAGGTGGTGGTGCAGTTAGGGGGGGTAGTAGTGGTGTTGGTGGTGTTAATTTACCTTCATCGGGAAGTTCAAGTTCCTCAGGAGGAGGATCAGCTACTGTAGTTGGAAGCAGCGGTATTGGTACTGGTATTGGAAGTGGTGTTACTGGTGGAAGCATCGGCGGTGGTGCAGGTGGTGGTGCAGCTGGTGGTGGAAGCGGATTGAGCTCTTCTACTGGACCATCACGTAGGGGTCGCCAAGGGTGGCGTGTTTGGCGTCGAGATCCAACCCTCATGAATCTATGGAAATCTCAGGGTCCTTTGGGTAAATCTTTTTTTTATTATTTTTAATTATGTTATTTGAGATTTTTCTTTTTTTTGTTTTTTTTTCTAGGTGAGCACAGCACCCTATTGTAGCCCTTATTAATCGCGATTATTTATTATATATTTGTTCAAATATTTATTTATTTTTTTTTGTAGATTAAGTAGAAATTGTGTAATGTATATATATATATATACTAAATTTATTATATTATCAAATTAATTTATAATAATATTTGTTGAATAGGAAAAAAATGCGAATGAAATGAAACTAAAACTATTGGAAAACGATGTAGAAAAAAGGTACTATTTTTCTATCGTTCGGAATAATAGGAAATGTCTCTAATATCAAAGCTCGTTTGCCAGTTTCCATTCAGTTTGGTTGGCTAGTTCGAAGGGAATTTACGAGTAAAAGGGACGGACTACTACTACTAGTACTACGATAACTGTTCTGAAAGATTCATGAAAGTGTAAACATTACGGGATAGTTTTAGCAAACGGATACCAGCTGTGTGGTGGAAGCCTTTCATTTAACTTTCAAAATAGAAATGATAATTTGTGATAAGAGTTTCTATATCCATATTTTTTCTTTTTTTTTGTCAATATAAAAACTTTTGACTTTATTCATAATAGTATAAATACATATTCATCGTTATTTTTTATTTGATTTCGTAAATGTATTGATTAAATGTTTAATTATTTGTTTCTTAATTTTAATTTAAATGCAAAAAATTGAATAACTTTTTTAAATTCTTTATAAATTTATTTTATTTTATTTTATTTTTTTTTTGGTAATACAAATTTTATAGTATTGAAGTTATATTATTATTATTTTCTTTTATATTGGTATAATTATATTATATAGTAATTTAATATTTAAAATACTTTTAATTTTATTAAATACAAAAATAATTTTTTTAAATTTTCTATAGGTTAATTTTATTTTTTTTTTTTTTGTAATACAAATTTTATAGTATTTTAATTAAGTAGTAGTATAGTAGTGGTAGTAGTAGTATATAGTAAGTATATAGTATCTAATTAATAACTTTATAGTATTATTATTTTATAATATCGATATAATTATATTAAACCTTTCATAAATTAATTTTATTTATTTTTTTTTTTATTACAAATTTTATAGTATTGAATTTTATAATATTATTATTTTTTAATATCATTATAATTATATTACATAACAATTTTAAATAAAAAAATATTGATCATATGAATATAAATTTTATTTTATGTAATTTTTTTGTTCGTTTGCTTTAAAATCAAGTTTAATTATAATACATATAAGTATATGTAATTTTTATACATGTGCATAGTATAAACTTATTAGTGTAAATCTTAAAATGTTAAATAGAATTATATAAGAGAGTTAAATTAAACGGTAACGCGTGTCTAAATGTCTTCTTCGTGAACAGATTAAATCGTTTATTCTATCCGACATTGTCCAAAACACGTCGCACACAGTAATACGATTTAACGAGACGTGATGTGATCCGTTAAAGTACTTCGTTTTATCTTTATTATACTCGTTCATAGTCAACATAATGTTTACTCAAGTTACATAATAACGTAACCGTGTAAAATACATGGTTAACGATCAAATGGAACTTTATTTATACAATAGTTAGAACAATCAATATTTTTCTTTTATCTAATCGAATTTTCCAACCCCCCATTATCATAATTTATCGTATAATAATTAATTTTCATGTTTTTTTTTTTTTTTTATATACTTTTAATATAAAAGAAAAATTTTGTAATATAATCGATGATTTATAATATGCCAAAAGTTGAACAACATTTTTTTTTTATTATTCATTTATTTTTTTTTCTCGTTATAAATGAAAAAAAAAGCTTTTCTGCATGGTGCTTATGAAAATGTGTTGGATGGTTATAAAAGAACAGGAAAATACATAATATATATATATATACATACGTGTGTGTATGTGTGTGTGTGTGTGTATGTATGTGGTACGTTTACTATCTTGAAAGGAAGGGTAGTACTCAGACTTATCTTCTTTTCTTCTTTCACTCAAGTACTATTTACTCTTTTCAGGAAAAAAAAAAAACAAGTTCATTATAAAAAGCGCCCTTTGTGTTATATTTCGTAGTTTCATGTTTTTTTTTTTTTTTTTTTTTTTTTTATGAACTATCAACGTTTTATGTAATATGGTTGCGTTAACATTTTTATTTACGAATTTTTATAAGAAACTTTTATTCAGTGATATTATTATTATTATTATTTAAAAATAAAAATTGGTACACGTGAGACTTTATTTAAAATACATTATATAATAAAATAAATGAATGCACACATATATGCACACATATGTATATTAAATTAATAATAGTATAGTTAGGTACGAATATAGATTATTAATAAAAATATATAGAACAAATATGATATGATAGGGGATTTTAAATAAAATAATAAAATTAATTAATACACATATATGCACACATTACATTACAAATACTATAGTTAGGTACAGATATAAATTATAAATTAAAAATTAAATAAAATAAATAAAATAAATAAAATAAATAAAAAATAATATAATGGGGATGCTAAATATGACAAAAAAAAAAATAAATTAATAAACCCACACACTAAATTACAAATGTTATAGTTAAGTAGATACAAATATAAATTGTAAATAAAATAAAATATATAAAAAATAATATGATAGGGATGCTAAATATGGTAAAAAAAAAAAATAAATTAATAGACCCACATACATACACACACACTAAACTACAGATACAATAGTTAAATACACAAATATAAATTATAAAAAGAAAATGATAATATGATGACGATGATAAACCTGACAATAAAACAAATGAATACACTCACACACACACACAAAATTAACAATATAATAATTAGGTACGAATATAGTTTATAAATAAATAAATAAATAAAAAAGAAAACAAGGAAAATAATATGATCGGGGTTGTTATTAAAAACAGGGTCTTTAGGAAACGCCAAGGGTTACATCATCCTCGCACTTTTGATTGGGGTGATCTCAATGGTGATCGGTTGCTGGTTATCCGATAATTGTTGGTCACCAGAACCAGAGGGGGTGATCACCCTTGCATAGCCTAGTGCCGATTTTCGTTCATCTAGGCGATAACAACTACTACGACGCCTACCATCCTATACGATTCTTTACGAATCTAATAACGGTCAGCGTCCTTCGCAACGACAACAACTACAACAACAACAACAATTACAATTGTTACAACAATTACAACAATTCGAAGAATTATCTGATGAACAACAACTACAACAACAAGAACTAGAACGAGAACAACGTCGACAACAATCTGCTGATAGATTTGTTCAGCATCAAGGACGACCATTGCTCGACATTAATGACAACGACACGCTTTTACGCGTCTAATCGTCATAGATCGTCATAGATCGTCATAGATCGTCATATTATAGGATATATTATCCCTCATTGATCATACATCATTTTTCTTATATTTTTTTTTGTTAAAAAATTCATTTTCAATCGTTTGTACTTATTTGTATTTTATTTGTCTTTTTCTTTTGTAAAATTGAAGGAAAGAATAATAAAAAAAAAATAAATATAATAAGTATATATATAAATAAATAAATAAATAAATAAATAAATAAATAAACCGGCTGCCGATTAAATGAAAAAAAAAAAAAATATATAAAAAATACCAGAATCCTCGCTTCGCGTTCCTAAAAGCATCGACGACAAATCATCTCCGCCCGTTTCAAACGAAATATCTCAATGATGAGAATTTAATTAACTTCATTAAAAATTGATCATGATTGTAAATCATATAAAAGAATAAAAAATATATATATATATATATATGTTAGGATCGCGAAGGATAGGAAGGACTAACGATAAAGTTGTGATCCTAATTCCTTTCGTTAAAGGGAAAGGTTCATAGCATTGTGTTTTAGCGATCGATTTTTATTATCAAATAAATAATTAAATATATATATATATATATATATAAATGAATAAAATGGCTGATTAATTAGAGTTATATTATATTATATTCATAAGATTATGGCTTACCTCGTATTAAATTATTATTATTATTATTATTATTATTATTATTATTATGATTATTATTAATATAATAGTTTGTGTAACAAGTATCATATTTATTATATGCATACGTAAATCGTATTACTTATATATATATATGTGTATATATTATATACATGCTTAGATACATAAAATGTTTATTCTCGTTTAGGGTAACACGTATAGCAAGCTTTTTCTAGCGTTATTTAAACAAAATAAAAAAATTAATAAAATAAAATAAAATAACAAATATAAAAACCAGTGATTTATATATATATATATAAATCTATATATGTATAAGATTGCTGATTTAGGGGGAGGGGCCAAATATATTTGATCGAGCTTGTATAGAAAAACAAAAAAAATTCTAAACTTTCTCGATCTTTAATAACTGAGAGGCCATTTTGTTTATATACTTTGATATTTCAAAATATTTTTTAATAATATTTTATTTCATCAATTTCATCGATTTTATTAGATCGTCGTGGAAGAAAATATCAACTAATGTTGATTAATACAACGAATGTTTTTTTATTCTCTCTCTTTCTCTCTCTCTCTTTCTCTCTCTCTCTCTCTATTACTCTCTCTTTCTATATATATTTTTCTTTTATAAATAAATATAAATATATTGGAATTATAAATAAATTCGTCGTATTATTATTGTTTTATCAATATACTACGAATGGAATTGATAATTTATTTCAACATTTATTATTATTCGATATTTACAATTATGAATAAAAATACATGTCCGATTATCGTTTCATATCGGTGATTGATTAATAAAAATATAATTCGATAAGAATAGAAACAAAGAAAAGAAAATGAAATTTATTTGTAAATTATAAAGAAAGCAAACCGTTTGTAGGATATTTATACGTATTGTTTTGTCATAATGTCACGAAGAGTATTATATTAAAGATAAATATTAGATTGTTCGAAAAGTAATTTTGTTTTTTATCTGACACAATAATGACATTAGTTAATGCAAATTGACAAGTAACAACACGTGAGATCGGTAATTGGTTTAAATTTATCAAATTTAACTGTTTATGCCAACTTAAAAGACCTAGATTTAATCTCAAAGCAAATATTATCTTCATTTTTATCATAGAAAAATGAAATTACATTCCGAACAACTCAATTTGTTCGTTTTATGAAAAAAAAAAAAAAGAAAAAAACACCAATTTTTTGTGTTTAGTTTGGAGTTGTTGAAAAAAAAAAAAAATTTTTGTTTGTAAAATTGAAAAGATTTGATTTTCACGCATCAGGATTGGTTATTCGTATTATTAATTGGATGACTAAAGCGTGAACTCAACGAACGAACGAACGAACGAACGAACGGTTTATCATCATCACGCTAACAGTGCGGATATTGTAATTGGTTGAAATGCAGTTTGATTCGTGCTTGCTGGAAAAGCCACAGACAATTCTATCGTTTATGATTCAATGAATCCGAGGATGGTTGTGTTGTTTAATCGAAACGCTTTAATCATTGGGTTTGCTTAAAGTAGTGCTTTTCCTTTACATAGGTAACTAGAGTTATACTTGGATATTACGATCGATAACACGTTATTAAGCAACCTTCAAAATTCAATTGCAGAAATATATTACGGTTAGTCAAACTTTTCAAAAAAAGTCACATTTTCAAATATCATGATTAAAAGTTATCCTTTCGAAAATATGTCAAAATTATTTCCACTTGTTTTCGACTAAACGATTTTAAATGTTTATGTAATATTTACTATATTTATATTTTGTCTGATAGAAAAATTTGTTGATAGAGTAAAATGTTTTGGGATTACATTTCTAATTTTGTATCGTTCAAAAAGTTATTATTAATTTGTTTAAACATTAGTAATCGGTAATAATACAAAATAATTTTAATTTATTATTTAATTAGGTTTCACTTAATAAATTTAAACCTAAACCAATTAATAATTGTTAATAATAAAAAATAATTGTAATTTATTATTTAATAATTAAGTTTTACTTAATAAATTTAAACCTAAACTAATTAATAATCGGTAATAAATAATAATTAAGAAAAATTCAACGAAGTAAATAGAATAAAACGAGATTAACAACATCTTACGTTTTCTGATCGTATTGCGTTATAAAAAGAGGGTTGTAAAAAAGGGGTGGAAATAATAATGGCTAGAGAGAGAAAGAAATGTCAGGGATTTGTCGAGATAACAATAAAGAAAGTAATTAGTTCGTTTGTTGTCGTAGAGTCGTGACAATCATCATCGAGCCGGATGTTGTTGTTGGGAGGGTAGTTGATATTAGTATATTAGTATTAGTGTATTAATGATAGTAAGAGTAGTAGTATTAGTATTAGTATTAGTAGTAGTAGTAGTAGTAGTAGTAGTAGTAGTAGTAAAAGCGTAGAATACGAAATGGGTCAACAACCGCGGCTTCTCTCGTTTCTCCTTCATGCTACTAATGGCTCGCGTTATTGGCAGCAAGAGGAGGAGGAGAGTCCTATATCTATCTCTGCACCAAGAGAGCCTCTCGCTCCTAATTTCTCTCCGTAGGCGAAGATACGCTTTTCAAACCATTATGCATGCATGCATATACCCATGTATGCATCTACACATACATTTATCTACCTATATATACATTTATGTACGTATGTATGCACCTATGCAAGTATGCATGCAGGTATGCATGCATGTATACATATATGTATGCATCTACACTTACATTTATGTGCCTATGTATGCATTTATGTATGTATGTTCATGTATGTATGTAGTTAAACCTCTCTCTCTCTCTCTCTCTCTCTTTCTCTCTTTCTTTCTTTTTTTCTCTCTCTCTCTCTTTTTTGCTCCCTGTTTCTTTCTTTCTTTCTTTCTTTCTCTTTTTTTTTCTTTTTCTTTTTCTTTCTCTTGTTCTTCATCTTTTGTTTTTTTTTTTTCAATTTATTACCTGGGATTCTCTTTTATTTGTTCCTTGTTCTATAATCATATGAAAGATTTAAATAATTTTAATGCTAATCTTTTCTTTGTTATCTTTATCTAATTAAAGATAGTAATTCTTTTTTATTTTTATTTTTTTTTATTTTTTTTTCATTAATTTAGTTATTATTAATTAGAACCGTAATACTAAAAAAAAATCCATCTTTTATATTTTTGTTCGATAATCTTCAATAATTATATTCTGTTTAATAATCTTCATTATTATATCATACATTATTATAATATCTAATCTTTTTATAATAATTTCTTTTTTGATAATCAAGAATGGATTAGCATTATCAATGATTCATTTAATAATACTAATGTTAATCTTTTCTCTGTTTTTTTTCTTTCTTAAATTACAATTATTTATTTTTTATGTATTTTGTTGTACTACGATTTTTACGATTTACAATCGTAATACTTTGGGTTAAATTTAAATATTGAAGACGATGTGTGTAATAAAGCTGCTCACAGTTATATATATATATATATATATATAGGTATAGTATAATAATTGGGTGGGTAAGATAATTTGTCTTGTTTATCTTTTGGACATTATCCCGGCAACCTTTGAAAGGAAATCCTTGGTGTTTACATACACACATCTGGCGTTATCGGTAACCGGGGTTGTTGCACCTGCATTCGATTGCTGTTTCTGCTGTTTCTGTTGCTTATGCTGTTGCATCTGTTCAGTTTCGTTTTACAAGATATGTAAACAAATTAGTCGTTAAGAGACTCACTCGGATATATTTCAGAGGAAAGTGGTAGAGAGACCTTTTACAAATTAGTATCAGTATGTATGTCATTTTATTATATGTACTTTTATTTTTGATTTTTTATTTTTTATAAATATCAGAGAGAATTATCAAAAATACCTTGGTCAGGTTTTGAGGTCAAAGCTATTAACTCTAATTTATATATATTTATTTATTTTTTTTTTTAATTTTTAATTTTATTATCAAAGCATTCCTTTGATAATTAACCTTTTTTATTATGTATATATATTTTTCATTATATTTTAATTAGTTATTAATTTATATATATATTATTATTATTATTATTATTATTATTATTATTATTTTGTTAATACTTAAATAAAAATATTATATATATATATATATATATATATATATATATATATATATATATATATATATATATATATAAACAACAAGTAATAAACAACAAGTTGTACACACATGTATTTTCGTTCATTCTATTTCTATATAAATGTGTAGGAGATTTCATCAGAACAAAACGAACAACTACACGAGACAAACTCGACATGATCGATATTTCTTTTTTCTATCTGGTTCTTCCATCTATTCATCCATCTCCATTTCTCTTATTTTTCTACCATTTTTCACACAACTCTGAATTTAATCGAGCACCAATTTTTCCTTCAATGATTTTTCCTTTTTTTCTTTTTTCTTTTTTCTTTCCTTTTTAGATCTTTTCGTTCATCGGTCAAA